CGTACGTACGTACGTACGACGTACGACGTACGACGACGACGACGACGACGAGAGAGAGAGAGAGAGAGAGAGAGAGAGAGAGAGAGAGAGAGAGANNNNAGAGAGAGAGAGAGAGCAACAAATTTAAATAATTGTCATTTCCTGAAAAATGGAGCGACAGTGACCCTCTAATAAATGATGATGGATTAGTTCAAGAAAAAAAAAACTAAAAACGGCTTTCAAACATTAGGAAAAAACAAAAGAAAAATTTGAGGACCGTACCTTCTTCACACACCAAGTGGCAATAGGAACTGCATCTTCAGCCTCAAATAGTAAAATCAGCCCATCTCTGTGTGATGAAACTCCACTGAGAACTTTAGCAGGAGCAAGGACCAGAACAGCAAATTTTGAACTGTTCATATCACAGGCCATGGCTGCAAAAAAAAGCTCACGATGAGCCAAACCATAAACTCTCAGACACACACAGACAGATGTATATGTATGTGTGTGTGTGTATAGAGAGAGAAAGGCTATTGAGTAATCAACACTATCTATACCTATCTATACCAACCATACATCAGATTTTTATAAACAAATCTGCCCTCCTAGGCTTCCGAAAGAGGAACTGGCAGATGTGAGTATTAGCAGAGAGGCTATGTGCTTACCTTCTGCACAAAGAGCATAAGCCCACGACAATGACAACTTTGACAAGTTCCAAACAGATAACTGGGGGTTTGATCCTCGAGATACAGACAATAGATGCTCTGCATTTGGAATAAAAGAAAGTGCTACAATCGGCTGCAAGGGAAAAGCTATATCATAACCAATGTCACTATGAGAGAGAGAGTTTTTTTATGAAGATAAAGAGTGAAATGAGGCCATTTTTCACCATACAGGTTGCTGGAATACTGAGAGGATTACCTCAGGGGTCTCTCCCATAACTGCAACAAGTGTGTTGGTATTAGGATTCCATAACGTGATGACAAATCCTGCAGCCACAGCCAGGACAGACCCATCTGCAGAAAATGCAGCAGCAGTCATAGGGTTCTTTCTGCACAATAGCCAATGCACCATGGTAAAAACCTAGTGACTGGCACATGAAAATAAGAATTTTGGGGATGTATACTATAAACCATATTCGATAGGGACATCATCATCCATTGAAGTGTACAGAGATGGAGAGAGTTCGGACCCACTACCATTTGGATGTCTTGTTCTGGTGGGTCCCACTCTATTCCATCACCACTCATCACTTCAATGGCGTTCATGACCAAATGCACAATGGTTTTCTGTTTCCCATAGTCTATTGAATTATGATACACACTGTGAGTTCTCTTCTGCAAATAATTCTTTTTTACAGTTAATCTAGAAAGTAAAAGAGAAAGCGGGCCATGGAATTTTTATGTGGCAAAAGGAACAAATCCATGTGAATTAATATAACTCAAAATCACATGCATAAACAAGATGATAGGCTCATTGCTAATAGAGAAATTGTACACAAGGGTAAAAACAAGAAGCTCCTCCAAGAGACCAAAGGATAGGACACTGAATCATGTTGACATCTCTCTACTTCTAGGTATTTCCGAAAGGGAATGGAAAGTCAAGAGAAATATGAGCCCAATTTCCTTTAAATATGTGCATGTTTGTGTGGAAAGTAGACCATTCTAGAGTTTTAGTTTATGGAAGCAGCTCCTCAATTGCCTGTGTCAACAAGTGATGGTTGAGGTACACCGTTTCCTGTGCACAAAGTACACCAAAATGACATACTTTTCAGAGTTGGAATTCCACAATTCAATTGTTCATTATTGATATCGGATGGTTGAGGAGAAGCCAAAATACTGCTTAAAAGTATACTCAATCACAATTTACAAACCCTTTCTACAGGGAAATGAATGCATGCTTCCTGGCAGTAAAATCATTCGTGCTCCCCCACCTCATGAATCAATTTTGAGGTAAGGGACCCGAAAAAGCTTCCAAAGCAGAATCCTCCAAATATAAACACATCACCTAGTCATGCATGTACACACACAAAGCAAATCTTACTTTTTTTTTCTTTTTTTTTTGTGTGTGTGGATTCGAAAATCAAAGGCAGCAAACAGGAGGGTAGGAATACATGCAACGTAGTATGATAGGAAGTTGTGGTAGCTACTTAAAAATTAATGAGTGAGCAATGATGAAGAAATGATTGGTTGTATTTCCAAAATCCCAATAAAAAAATTCCAAATACTGTTCTATTTTGCAGCCATGCCTCTAGAAAAAATAGAAACCCAAACGTGTAGTCCACCTGAAAATTTCAAGTAATTAAGTTTCCTTAAATGCTCGGCTTTATTAAAACAGCCATCTTCTGGGTGTGTTTTGCTTCTGCAGAAGAGCTGTGGCAAAACATTTAAAGGCTATAGTGTTTAGCCAGAGAAGAAGGATCTTAAGACTACATTTTCGTGAGAACCTGAGGATATTCCAAAAACTATATTGGGTCACATAATTTGGTCTCCACACACCCATCTCTTTCATCACCAAAACCCATCCTAACCTTTAAATCCGCAACTTAGCAAAGTGTCCATGCAGTGGTTTTTTCTATTTTCAATCTATAAGTGTCCATTAGGATCTGTCACAAAATAAGGCATTCATACATTATTATGACCCTTGCATAAACAGAGAAAGAAAAGAGTAACATACTTGTATGTGCCAATGGATTGACATCTCCAACCACCTTTTTGAAGACTTCCATCTTTCTTCTGTATGTCCATGCTCCGAATCCAAATCTGACGAAGAAGCAAAGATCAGCACATACAGGAGAAATAGAAGTGTACTTTAACCCACTGGGCAATGGGAAAACTGTAGTCCATAGGATCACCACTGTTCACACAAATGGTGGTGATAGAGAGCAGGCTCACCAGAACAGGACATGACCCCAACAGTAGATCCCACTCTCTCTACATCAACACTCTAAAGGATGGTGAAGATTCAATGCACTCTCATTATTCAATACTCCATTGGTTTATAATTTACCTTTTTTGGAATAAGAAGTGTAATATACTTTCACCAGAAGAAAAGGAATAGAATCAGAAGCTCAGAAAATACTAGATAAATACGAGAACCTTAAAGTTACCACCATAGGAAGAGCTCACAACCATACTGCGGGTAGGATGAAATGCAACAGCAGATATGCCTGCATCACTGAATCATAATGACACAACAAATGTCTCAGGTGACAGCAGCTATGCCAACACATGCATGCATGCACACAACAAAGACACAGAGAACTACACCTAGGGAGCAGTCTTAAAATGGTTCTGAAAGTTTGAATTTAAAAATAACTTTTCCAGCAGTGCATATAGCTCAGCATCAGCAGGGATACTTACCTTCCCAAATATGCGAATTTATTTCTATTAAGATCCATGGAGTGTCAGTGAAAGAGAGAAAGAAAGCAGTAGTTGAATGTAGGGAAAATTACTAATACCCCCCGTGACTCTACTTTCTAAATATCTTCTCCCCAACAACTTTTTAAAACACAAAAAAAACCCAGTACTATTTGTTGTTTTGCCCCTTCCCCCCAATCAAAAAGTCAATAAATTTATGACCAAAATTCCCCTATCTGTGCGTCATACTCACATTTTCATAGTGCCAGTCCGGCAGTGTTTTGTGCCACACTGGCACTATAAAATCAATGTGCTGGACCGATTTTTGTGTTGGTCGAGCACATTTTTTTTGCTGGACCCACACGAACTCATTTCCTCCGGCACAAAGACAAAAAGAAAACAAAAAAAATGGGTTGCAAACATGGGTCCAATGGCGGTATTTTTGTCTAAACAAAAGGTACATTTTTTCCTTTTAGGGCTTTGGGGGGGGGGCGGGGGGTGGTGTTTGCAAAAAAAAAAACACTAATGGGGTTTGCAGAGTGATCGAAAGTGTTGGGGGGGAGGATGCCTAGAAAGTTAAACTTGGGGGGTTTTCGTAATTCTCCCTTGAATGTACTTATAAGGATTACAGCAAGAAAAGGCACGGTAGTGAGGTTCACGGCTAGAAATGCCACAAGAACATGGTTTTTTTTTTTGAAGAAAACACAAGGACATGTTTTCTGTAACAAAGATTTGCATATACAAATGATATCAAAAAATCAACCTAGGTTTGAGTTCTGTCTAACAATTTTTTAATTTGCACATAATTATTTTGGACAAAATTATCTAACAATTTTTAAATTTGTTGATAATTATTTTGGAAAAAATTATCACAAGACACTAGACTAGCAGATTTAAAGAAGACTATGAACTAATTAAGTAGATGATACCATAGAAATACAATTGCTAGATCCCTGAAGGATGATTTCATCTTCATACCAATGATTTTTTTAAATGACTAATGTGATGCATGATCCTTAGTACCCAAGAGATCTCATAGCCCACTAAAGTGATGATTTCAAACCAGACATGCAAATGATTTTCCAAAGAAGACATTTACAGCAATGCCAGACTGAGCTAGATAAAACTTCAGTTCTAAAATCTCGATAAAAATGTTCAAGATGAAATTAACTGAAAGGTTTAGATTTACCCATGAGGGTCATAAATGACGGTCGATAAGGCAAAGTCACCACTATGAGAGCCACATTCCCAGAACTTCAGACAAACAAGACCACCTATCCCTTCTTCCGGAAGCCTAACCTCAACAGTGCTCATCTCAGAGCCATCTCCCGACAAAGCTAGCAGACTCACAACAACCTGCACATATCACACGAAAGATGGAACATGCTAAAACACTTGCAGAGCTCACTACAATTAAAAATGCAAAAGGAGGCCCTATGATGCTTAAATCATAGGGAAACAACTACCCACAAATTACTTCATAAACAAACCATAAAAAGTTATCTACATAAAGTACTTCACAAGCTGAGATAACAAGGGGCTGGCTAAATAAATTATTAATTTATTAGAGCTTTCATCATTGTACTATATGTACCGAATAGCACTAAATTTTTTTTGAAAACTGTTTGACATTGTATTGCTATGGGACTTTACAAAGAGTAAGACTGTAAGCACACCCTCCCTGAGTGGCTAACAGTAAAAAATACATTAGTCTTGCATTATCAGTATAGGCTTATAAGTGCCCAAGGTACAAGATATAAAATGAGATTTACAAAAATCTGAGCAATGGGTTGCTCGATGAGAGAGGTGTTAATCTGTACGGCTGAGGTCCTGAACAAAAAAGGAGTTAGACCTAGGCTAGGAGTCAATACGGCTGAGGTCCTGAACAAAAAAGGAGTTGGACCTAGTCTGGGAGTCCGAATGCAAACTAGCTCCTTCCTTCGCCAGTAGATCTGCTAGATTGTTGGACATCCTCCAGCTATGCTGCCATAAGACGCTGGTATCCCTGCATAAATGGGAAATTTTGTCAAAGATTGAGGACTGTTGCCAAGGAGGGGGGGACAAGCCTCTTGCCTAGGATATGGTATTAGAAGAATCTCCTTCCACTATCAGTGTAGAGCTCCAAGAGGAATTAAGGTTTCTCAATCCCAGTAAGAGAGCCATGGCTTCCGTACATTGGGAGTCAAAAGTTCCTAGATGCGCCGAAAGAGTAAAAAGGACATTGCTCTGGCTGTCTCTAAAAACTCCCCCTGCACTTGAGGGACCAGAGTTACCTAAGGAGCAGCCATCGAAGTTCAGATTGATGGTGCCCTCAGGTGGGGTTTGCCAACTACTATATCTTGGGGGTTTGGGAGGTCTATGCTTAAGGATGTTTTGCCATTGAGGGAGAAAAGTGTTTCTAGGGATGCCAGATAAGGATTTGTGTTGAGAGGCCCAAAAGGTGGTTAGTGAGACAATCTTGTGGAAGAGGGCTTGCTGTTGTAGTTGAGCACCGTTGAAGATCCTATTGTTCCTTTCCAGCGAGAGAGACCAAATTGTAGCAGCCACCGTGGCCTTCCATAATAATTTCCCAGCCAAGGGCCACTGAGAAGTCAAATTTGTGGGTGAAGAGTGCTTTGACCGTGGGTGGGGTAGCCCATTGGAGGCCGAAAAGCTGGAGAACAAGTGACCAGAGTTTACTGGAAAAGTTGCAAAGAATGAAAAGGTTGGGGTTAGATTCCTCCTCACATAGACATAGGGCACATCAAGGAGAGGCCTCTTCTTTGTAATTGGTCGACTGTGCGGGCTCTTTGAGAACAAGCAATTCAACTAAAGAACTAGATCCTTGGTGAGGTTATGGTGGACCACACTTTTGATAGGATAAAAGTGGGATTTAGGGGGAAAGTTGGGGGTTGAATGAGGGTTTTGTAGAAAGAGCCTACTGAAAAATGGCCAGAAGGGGATAGGCTCCAAACCAAAGAGTCACTGCCAGAAGAGGGGAGGAAGTGGGAGGACAAGGTACCCAGTAGATGTAGGAACTGAGTGCACTCGTCCTCAGAGAGGTGTCTACGGAAAGAAGGACAACAGGTTCTTCTGCCACTCACGAGGGGCAATTCCTCGGCGATAGAGGAGTCACAGTCAGTGGAGAGGGAGAAGAGGGTAGGGAAGGCCTTGCACAAAGGTGAAGTACCAATCCAGAGGTCTGTCCATAATTTAACTCTAGTGCCAACTCTAGCGTGGAATCTAGTATGCCTTATGAACTATGGTAGGAAAGAAGCTAAAGACAGCCACACTCCAAACGCCCTCTGTTTTTTAATGCTCTCTGGAACCCAAGTATCATCCCTGATCTTGTATGTTTTGCGTAATATTTGAGCCCAGAGAGCATTTGGTTGAGTGGCCAGGCGCCACCACCATTTGCCTAGAAGAGTTGTGTTGTGCTTTCTGAGGATCCGAATCCCTAAACCCCCTTGTTTTCTTAGTAGGCAAATGCTATCCCAAGCTACCAGGTGTAATTTCGTCTTCTCTGCCTGGGCAGACTAGAGAAAATTATGCATAAGTTGTTCTATGCGGTTGGCCACCTGTGCCGGCATCTGAAACAGAGACATGAGATAAACTGGGGTGTTTGCCAGGGTAGCCTTGATCAGGGTAACTCTGCCTGCAGGCGAGAGATATCTACCTTTCTAGGTGGAAAGGCATCTCTCTACTTTGTCAAGTACTTGGGACCAGAGTCTTTTTTTGGGTTTCCCTAGCCCCAGAGGAAGACCCAGGTAAGTGGAGGGGAGAACTTCCACTTTGCAGTCCCAGTCTGGGATAACGACAGCTACCTCATCAGGAGACAAGGCTACGCCCATCATTTTGGAGTTACTCATATTAACTTTGAACCCTGTAGCAGTTTGAAAGCACTGAAGGAAGAGTTTGGGGGTATCAATCTCCTCTTGGGTGGCGTCTAGGAAAACCAGGGTGTCATATGCATATTGCAGATGTGACACCAAGGGGCCCTAGTTGCTAGTGGTGAAGCCAGAGAGGAGACCATTCTGGTAGAGGAGGCAGAGGGATCTCAAGAAGACTTCCACGGCAATGGCAAAGAGGAAAGGGGAGAAGGAGTCCCCTTGGCAGAGCCCCCTGTGAGCCGGGAAGAAACCCTTCGGTGATCCATTAATGAGGATGGATAAATGGGGGTTGGAGTAACATCCCCTCATCCACCTTCTCCAACGATCTCTGAAGCCCATCCTCAACATGGTTTCATCCAAGATAGACCAGTCTACATGATCATAGGCTTTCTCCCAGTCTAATTTGAAGATTAAACCTGGTTTCTTAGCTAGGTGTCTAGAGTGGAGACATTCATTAGCTACCAGGACCCGTCCAAGATCTGCCTATCTTGGATAAAGGCAAATTGGGAAGGGGAGATGACAGTTGGTAGTACTTTTTGGAGTCTAGAGGCTAGGACTTTAGCCAAAATTTTGTAGGTGGAATTCAGGAGGCTAATGGGTCGAAAGTCCTTGATTTCCTCAGCCCCTTCGATTTTAGGCACCAGGGCTGTGAAGGTGGCATTTATGGCTTTGTGAATGATTCCCCTATGAAAGAATTCCTGGAAGAAATTGAAGAAGTCGGGACAAAAGGTACTCCAGAAAGTTTTGAAAGGGGCGATAGGGAATCCATCAAGGCCAAGGGCTTTGTCAACGGCAAGGGCTATAAGAGCTTGAAGGATCTCCTCCTCGGAGAAAGGTTGATCCAAAGAAGTTGCTAAGTCCTCACTCAAAGTCAAGAAGGTAAGATCCTCCATTCTAGGCTTTGGGCCAGTGGGTTGAGAATAAAGAGATTGGAAGAAATCTATGATGGCCTGCTCGATTTGTAGTGGTTGCGTCAAAAAAATATTGTTGACTTTGAGCATCGAGATGGAGTTGTCTCTTCGGCAACAGTTTGCTATCCGTTGAAAATAAGCTGTGTTTTGATCGCCTGTTTTTAACCATTTAACCCTGGATCTCTGGAACCAGTAGATCTCCTCCTTTTTTAGGATGGATAGATAATCGAGTTTGGACTGGGCCCTGAGGTTTAGTTCCAAGTCATCAAGGGCTTTGGATTCTTCCAAGCGGTCGAGGCGTTGGATAGTATCCAAGAGAAGTCATTTGGTTTGAGAGAAGTTGCCAGGTAAGGTATTACTCCAGGTTTTGAGGGAGGCTTTTAGGAACTGGATTTTGGTTTCAAGTCTATATCCGGCTCTACCCCTGATCTGAAGCAAGAAAGAGCCCCACCAGATGGGTATCTGAGAATGGAGGGAGGCTTCTTGCAGCCAATGAAGTTCAAATCTAAAAGGTTTTGGGCCTCTTAGAATAGCATTGGTATCCAGGAGAATGGGACAGTGGTCAAAAATAGGTTTGGGTAGTGTTAAGGCTTGGGACCCGAGGAAGTTTAGATCCGATTCGATAGAGAAGAGGAAACGGTCAAGTTTGGAGAGGGAAGGGCTAGAAGAGTGGTTAGATCATGTGAATTGGCTGCCTTGGAGGGGAATGTCCATGAGAGCATTCCTTTTGATAAAATCCGCGAAATCCCTCATATCCCGGGAGATAGAAGAGGAGAAGTTTCGTTCATGGGACCATCTAGTGACGTTGAAGTCTCCTCCCAAACACCAGGAAGGATTAGGAAGAGCAGCAATGTGGTCCAATTCAGCCCAGAAACCGTGTCTGAGGAAAGAAAGATTTGGGCCATAAACAGCCGTGAATTTCCATGCACAACCATTGGTCAAGGTGGAAAGGAGAACAGTGACCGAGAAATTGCCTACATGTGAGGAGATGAGATTGTGTTCTAGTGGGTTCCAGATAACCCAAATGCCTCCTAACGCACCCACAGCCGGTAGGGCCACCCACTGGGAAGGATGCTTTCCCCAGATTTGGCAGATGAGTTGCAAGTTGGGCTCGGGTTGTTTGATTTCAATAAGGGCCAGAACCGAGGGGGAGTACTTGAGGGAAATATCTCTGACAGCATTCTTCTTGGATTGGTGACCCCAGTCCCCTGATGTTCCAAGTTACTATCTTCATGGGAGAGAAAGGAGGTGGGTGGGGATGAGGCCAGTCTGGAGGACCTCCTAGGGAAGGAGATTGGGAGGAAGACAGCGGACTCCCGGGAGGCTTGTCCTGGAAAGAGATGGAGGGAAAAAGGCTAAGCAGTTCTCTATGACCTTTGGGTCTTACCTTAAGTCTGCTGTGCGCATCTGCGGTTAAGAACTAAATAGCACTAAGAACTGTGCGCATCTGCGGTTAAGCCTGCTGTGCGCATCTACGGTTAAGAACTAAATAGCACTGAATTGCATTGCCTTTTTCCCTTTTTTTATATTTCCCGCCAGCTTATTTACAGAGATCTGTAATATTCAACTGATAGGTATTGACGATCTCAGTACTTAAAATTTAGAGTGCAAAAATTTCACGATTCAATCAGAAGTCAGCCCCAAAAATATGATACTTCAGTATGTTTCATGGAGAAAAAGCAGCATTTTTAATAACAGATCACCCCAAAGTAAGCATGGTTCTAAATGTAAATAATCTGGTAATATATAGCCAAATATGACTGCGACAGATAAGTAGGTAGCGAGAGTGCGCGCGAGAGAGAGAGAAAGAGAGATGATCATTCCTTTGATTCCCTGAATATCAACTGGAACAAAAACAATCATTACGGTTCTCACAACATAAAGTGAAACTGTCAGAAAGTAGCAATAAGGTCAATTGGCAAGACTAGTGTTGGCAACTTTATTAGCAATCATGTTTCCTCACCCTGTATTAGGTGGCAAGTTGCAATGCACATGAAAAAACAGTCCCCCTGGAGAACTAACTAAAAACATTAGGGGAATCCCCATTACAAGATACGTGAAAAAACAGTCTCCTTGGAGAAATAACAAATAACATTAGGGGAATCCCCCTCCATAGGACATGGTGAAAGAAATTACTCCTAATATGAACATCGTCTACCAAAAAAGCCATACTCTAAGAATTTTGATGTACAAAGCCATAGGGGTGGCAATCGGTTAAGGTCCAAATCAGGTCCAGGTCCAAATCACTTGGAACTGACCCAGGTTGGGTTTGGGTTTGGGTCCGGGTCGAGCGTGGACCCCTATCAGGTTGGGTCGGGTTGAACCAACCAAACCTGATATACGTGTAAAAAATTTAAACTAAATATTAATATAGAATATATTTTTTTGTTTTATTTTTTTAATTTCTAGACTAGGTTGGCGGGTCCAGATCCATGTGCAAGCTAGTTGGGTGGGGTCCGGGTCCAGGTCAACCCTGACTAGACCCGACCCATTGCCGCCCCTACAAAGCCGGAGTCATATGTTATCTGATACATGCAAAAGGTCATCAAATCAAATGACAAACTAGCCATGAGCTCACAAGAGTTGTGGAAGGGGTGGTTTTGCATATAATATGAGAGAGAGAGAGAGAGAGAGAGAGAGTAGTTACAACAAGCACCTGACAAGGCAG